AGCCAACAGTTCGAATAATATATCCCACGACATATATCTTTTATAAGCTTATTTTTTTTTAAATAGATGTTCATAATGTTATCGAAAAAATCAACAGATACTTGTCACGCTCTCAATATTTACAAAGATGTGGAAAACAAAACGGCGATTTATTCAAAACCAAGTTGTTTTTGTACGTTCATAAATCACTAGAATATTGAAATATTCACTTAAATGCAAAAGCAAAGAGTTCATTTAAAGTGTATTTTATAACTTTCTTTTAATAATAATATAAAAAACTTATATTAAATGTTGTTCAAATTTTTCAACCGTTTCTTCAATCCATTCACGAACCTTGGCAATATCAACAAAAAGACCAGGACTTTTTCCTGTAACGCAGGCATCTCCCAAAGAAACAATACCAGCTAGAAGATGACCGGTAACTAAGGGATCTCCAGCATCGTATTCGCAAGCGTCCCGGCTCATACCATCAACGCATATCATCGATGGTTTAATAACACGGCCATAATGGTCTTTAACTGAAGAGCATTTTTTGCGACTAACAATAGTCACATAAGATGATCTTAAACTTTTTGAAGCACAATCACGAAGACTACCCCAACCAGAGACCATCGCAACGCCACCAACAGCGGCTGATTTGCGAGCTAGAGAAATCGGATCGATACCAGGATAAAACTTCAATGCAGTCGCCAAGCGTATAATCCCTACGTCATAATCATTTGAAGCAGGACTGTAACGTTCGTGTATTTTGAAATTCGCGACTTGAATTAATTGGCCGCCGATATTCCAGGAAGAGGATGCCGAACGCACCGTCATATTACTCGCTTTTCTGCCTCGAAGACAGGAAGCGGCGGTGATGATGGCATGTTTATCGAATATAACGCCACTACAATAATGCTTGCCATCAAATTGTAAAGAAGCTATATAAGGCACTGAAGAGATGTTAGTGTCAAAAAATTCAACAAAGCCTTCATTGAATGCAGGCACCGAAGTACCCCAAACGCAAACCACTGTTGCGAGACCAATACCAAATTATTACTACAATTTCCTTCATAGGAAATTACATTTTATAAGCATTTCTGGTGATTGAAAAAATATCCACTTTAAAGATAATGCAAAGTAAGTTTGTAAGTTCGATAAGATAGTTTTGGATAATGACAAGAATACTTATAACTTATATCACAAAAAAGCAAAGGAGAGGTAAGAGTACAGTGTTTATTGGTAAAACTTCTGATAATTTAGAAAGAAATTGGATGGTGGGGGAACTCATAATTCGTGAGCATTAATGCAACGTTAGTCCGAGTGTACCTCCCAATGTCCAGTATTTACTACATAAGAAATTTACCGGACGTTGTATTCGCTATAAAAATTAGCGGAGTCGACAGGCTCCCTAGTAACTGACGATCGGGGTCATTTTTTTTTTCATTCAGATCGTTCTTACGTCCATAAGCCAATGATTAGAAAGAATTAAAGCTGGGAAGAGGGATAGTAAAAGATGAGTGATATCTGTGTACGTTCGACTTGTCAATGGAAAACTCTAAAACGGCCGAGAAATGTCACTGCAGGTGGGTTGTTCCAAAAGTGGACATTAAATAACGACGAGATGTGGTGTCTTGTGCGATATATGGGCGATACCAGGAAAACGCTGACAAACCCAGCTAGTCCTTTTAAAGGATTTGGTTGGCGGACGAATCTCTTTTTCTACGCAAGCACAACGTTGTACCGTTGGACACACCTTCTCCATCGCTGAGCACCTGAGCCTGCACACAGTCAACGGTCTCCTTACAATATCTGGACACTCTTGCCTGCGTATGGGGACAAATCGAGCGAAATTATTATCGATTTTAAATGCAGTTGCCTTTGCAAGCAAGAGCATCACGCCACATCCTGCCTTATCTCGTCGTAATATTGCCGAAATCACAAGTCTGCGAGATAAGCCATTAAATCACCGGTGGACCGAATTTTGTGAACGATGCATTGCCGATTGGAGACAAGCTTACTGTTTTCTGAGCGATAGCTCAGATGTATGTAGATCACACATCTGCTTTGCGCTTCGATCACCAGTCCAAACAATATTGCATTGCGTTTGGAAAGAGAGTTTCTTGGAATAGCACGCTAATGTACAAAGAAAAGCTTTAATCAGTGCAATTTTAAACGAAGACTGCCGTAACAAATACCAAATATTTGAGTTTTGAAGATTTTTGGATAGCATAAACATATATGTACTTATATAATATGCCTTTTAACTATCTATAACTTTTTTTGTCCTGACTAACTTTTGTTCAAGAAATGTATTAAATTGAAAGGAAATACTATCGTATAAAAAGGCTGCATAAAGTGGAGAGCTTGTCAACGCCTTCAAGTGTAGCTTTCCCCTTTCTCTTATCGGCTTGAAATATTTGTTTAAACTACTTAAGAATCAAAACTTTCCTGCTTAACAATATTAAACACCATCAATGAATATATGAATTAATCATTTCCTTTTTTTATTTATTGTTTTTGTCGTTTAATTTATTTTACAATTTCTCTTAAGTTTTATTTTTATTATTGTTTATTACAAGAGCCAAGGCAATGATAAATTAAATCTGTCGAGTTTCAAGCAGATGTCTTTTATTATTCATGCTTTTATGTTGTTACTTTTGTTAAGCTACGTTATTGTCGCTTACCAAATAGCATTTTGATTAAAATTCAATTTAGTCCATTTATTATTCCACAATTTGTAAAACAATAAACCGACCAAAACAATATTCGCTGATTTCAGCAACATTTTCATTAGAGCTCGTCGTTCCCTACATATATATATATTTTATATATATATATAAATGTAAATGAAAAATTCAAAAAGAAAATGTCAGAGAAATTTTGTATAGCGAACTAACCCCATAGAAAGTAAATATTACAACGAGACTTACTCGGTCATGGCATTAGTTGTTTCTAGCTGGCATACGATGCCTTCATGAGCTGCTAGTGTTAAGCTGTTGTTACCAGAAATTAAAGCACTAAAAACGAAAAAAGATAAATAAAATGAAACTGATAGTAAAATTTGATCTGAACATGTTCTTGTACATAACTGTTTACTAAGCTGTTAAACAAGAGCAAGTGAAAGCACTCTAATGAGCGGCAATCCATAATTAAATACCCTACTATCACTTCGTTTAATACAGTTACAATTCATGTAACGAGTTTTCGCAAAGGGATGCTGTGTGGAAAGTGATCCAAAAAAGTGGTGATCCGATTCAAATCAATTTCATTAGCATTCGTTTTTGGGCGAAATCATGTCAGTACGTTACTCCATTGTACGTTATTCCATTGAAATAATTCAAAGTTTACGACCTGAAGGCTAGCCGGGATACAAAAGAAACGGACTGGCGGACGGCCGAACTGACAAACTCACATCGATTCAAAAAGTAACTGCGAATCGATCGGTGTAATAAGGAATGGGTCAGTCTCAAGTCCTTCCGGGTATTGTATACATCCGTACGAACTTAAAGCACTCTTACACCATCAGTGGTGTAGAGTGCAAAACATGTACTCTACTTTGAGCAAAAGATTTCTTCTGTTTAAAAACATTCCAGATTTAAATAAAGAAAATAAATTACAAAACGTAAGCACGCAAGTGAAAAAATTTGTTATTAACGTGCTTGTGTAAATGAATCATTTTCGCATGTGGTGTTAATGGTCTCGATATAATCATCTGCACAATAAATCTCATCTCGAGTCTTTTGTGTGTGTTTTACACTCACCCCCGCAGACAATATATTCGGTTTATTAACTGTTTGCAGCATATCGAAATACGTTTAAGAGCTTGCCAATCTTCATGTGAATGCAATCATAATAAACAGCAAAGCTGCAAAATAAATCACGCATGTTTGTCCACATGTCCGTCTAATTAGATAACAATTAAGGCTTTAATTTCATGACGAGAAAAACGAGTTTGATCTTAAAACAATGGCTTTGTCATTTTCCTTAAATTTATTCAACATGCGGCGACGGCGAGTATGACACACGAGATGACATCGCAATGGAATCTGTCTTTTCTGATAGACGTTAAGGTATTTTAAAACAATATCTCGTGTACATAGTTTGTTTTTTTATAATCTGCAATAGAAGAATATAAAAAATATATCTGCATACGTGTAATAATAATAATACAAAAAATACATCGGTCCGCTCTCTAAGACAAAGTGTAAATAGTATTCTGAGGTGCTGAATACACCCACTATTTCCCCATTTGCAATTGCCGCCTCTAAGCTATACGCAATTGCATAAATTATCATAATAAAGTGTGCACGACATAGTTACTTGGGGCTATGATTGTGTGTCATTTACGGGACGCTTTACTTTTTCCGCTAACTAGAAAGTTTGCGCCGCTAAACCGTTATAAACTGTGACAGTAATTGCATTATGGTATTCAAGTAACACTGACTATCCCTGGCACGTTGAGCTCAGCAGAGCGTAGCATATTACGATTGCACCACACAAGTCAAACTAAGCTGTGCTACCAATAATATTTGACGCAACTGCAACAAAAATTGAGCGTGATATCCCAGAGCCATAGTAACGTAAATTTTCAGTATGAAGAACTTCCATCCATATAGCAAAACTCGGTCATGAAATGTTCGCAGTTCTCACCTGTAATGTTCTATCCTCCCCCGTTGTTATCAGTGAATATTATTCCTGCCGACTAACGCGGATTTCAATCGATATTTTATTGTTTGTTCGGACAATGCTTCGATTCTTATGACGATAAACAAATATGGATCTTTTTTCGGCATAACCTCAAAAGATAAGACATTTTGCGAAGTTGGATTCGAAAATTGCCTAAAAGATGGGGAAAACGAAGTAGCTAACGGTGGGTAATACTTTGATTACTCTATTCATTCGTTTCATTCTGAAATAAATGCATTTTTTACTCCAAAAGAACGGAGCGACTAATGTATACTCCCAATATATTTCTGAATTATGTTATTAGAATATAAGACTTAACTTGCTCGGTTTGTATATATTTTCAAGCACTCTTTAACATTTATAGTTATTTACTTTGTCATATAGTGCAGTATGGTCGCCTGGAATCTTTAATTTAATGGGATCTATGGCAAGCAGTGTAGAAAGCAGGAAATATGAACATGAAAGAAAATTATTTACTGCACTTGTCTATAGCTAGCACTTATGGATTTTGGAAATATTAACTTTTATGTGATTGAGGGATGTTTGAATCAATCGTTGCAATCTTCGGCCAAAAAGGCAGACGTTTGTTAGCAAATAACATGTAGCCGCTTTAGGAGATAGCGTTTCGAGAAAAAGACTTCGGAGGTTTCAAATGCACGCAATTCTGCCACTATGTTCGGAAAAAACAAAATTTTTGGACCAGTTAAAATTTTACTTCACGTATGATAACCATATGATATCGTCCTTCAATTCAAAACAGCCTTCCGTTAATAAAAAATTCACTCCCTAATATTTACATTAACGTTTCCCCGCGATAACAAAACTTAGGAATCTTTTGAAGATCTTTTCGCATTCCGAAACACTTATCATATTCGGTCTGAGCAAAGTGGTTACGGAAAGCTATGACTTGCGAAGAACCACCATATGATACAATGCTTTACTCACAAGCAAACGTAGCACAGGGCGAACGTAACACACGAACTCGTAGGACCAAATAAGTCAACGACAAGTACGCCTTCCCCGCTGCTCTACAGAATATTCTAATCATTAGGTGATTACCATTAGTGATGGAGAGGGAACAAGAAATTAAGGTCAGCGGAGGAACTAAATAAAATTTTGACTAGCTCAGGCCGTTTAGAAAATCGAGAGAGAGAAATCCCTCGCAATTACAAATGTAAGATTGGCAGACCCAACGACCTAATTATCTGCAGCTCTTGATCACAGCGTTACTCCAGATTATATATATTATGGTGAGGTGCAAGAAAAATCGCTCTAAGCTAATTTAATTATTTTCTTTTTTTTATGTAATAAAAGCATTCTACACTTAAGAGGGATGTTCTATGACAGCATTCACTTGCGAACACATACTCATACATGCTTGCTTGTGTTCATTGGCTCCAAACAGACAGAGTAGCCTAACTGACGTCGTCTCTATTCGCACGTGTAAATAATAATGGTAGAGGTGCGACGTTTGCCAGAGATCTTCTGTCTACAACACCTGAAGTATCTCTCTAAGGAAATTCCATTAAAATGTTTGCACACTAGGTATAGATATCTTTTATCGCGGCCAATTTATTGCTAAATGAAATACATGCTTGCAGTTCCCACGCATGCTTTAGTCTTTTAACGAAGCAAAAGCATTTATTAATTAAGAATTTCATGCTGCCATGCAAACAATTCCTTCATGCGGCGCCAAACGTATTTTGGGTAAATAATCTGCTGTTATTAAAAAACTAATAAAAAAATTATTTAAAATTTTTCAAACATTAGATAAAATGCTTTTATAATTACCCGACATTATAGTTAGAATAAACGCCAGTTATCAAAATTCTTAGATGTTTAACATCGTCCAATATATTGAAGACATTAATCAGCTGCGGCTTCGAACCCACATTTATCAAGGTTATAAAACTGCGGTGATTTTTGAGAGATCTAGAGGAAACATGGCAAAAATAATTGACTGGCAAAAAGACTTAGACGTAGTGAAACTAAAATAAAATTGACCGGACAAGAACAGTTTCCATAGAGGTCGTTGCACAAAATTTAACAAAGTTCCTTAAGTTGCATGCCGCATATTACAATGAAGACCACGTATGTGGGGCTCTCTTTACCCTTTGAGCCCATTAATATCAAAAACAGTAGCGTCACCTATACGGGTGACGCGAGGAAGGTCAGAAAGGTGAGTAGAAGAGATTTGAACTCGTTGATGTGTGTGCAACATCCAGAAAGACTTAAAGAGAGATAGACCCACTTTTTATAATGCCAATCAATTTAGACAAGATAAGGTAAGACATTATAAGACTAGCCATCAATTCTTCAGAATTTTCCTAATTGCGTGCGAGTTTATATATCGATTTTGCCATATAACATAATAAAAGAAAAGAAGAACATTTCACCTTCCGGACCTTGGTATGTAATATATAGTAATCAAAGATTTGGTTAGTCAGACGGATAGAAACACGATAATGAAATCCATGCTCGTCAACTCGTAACGTAATCTTTCCCGCTCTAAGATTTTTTTAAGCATTTACGCACCTTATTACAGCGAATACCCATTTATTTATCACTTCTACTTGACATCGTCCCTCTCTCAATACGACTTCTTGTCTAAGTTGTATCAATGATTTATAGACCTTATAGTGACTTTTCTCATCGTCCAATTGCGTTTTAAGATTAAGGTCTTCGTAGTTAGGATGCACGGGAAGCCAAGTTCGAGGTAGTTTCGTAAATCCTTTAAAATCCGCTTTCAATCAATAGATCTTCATGTTCGTTGCAAATCTTATACCTGCGTTCTTTTCCGCACTCCATTGGAAGGGCGTACGGACAGGATCTTTAGATATGCTTTGATAAAACTTCGGACCCATACTTAAAGCAACCGGATCTTTAGTGTCCTGCCATTTGATAGCACGATAGTCTTGCATGCCAAGTTCTTCACCCTTGATCAAAAATTATACCATGATGTAATGTACACAACCTTTCTGTTTTTTAATATCTACTCACACTATATGTCACCGCAATGCCGGGCAGAGTCATCAACAACATGTTTATGGCGTCAACGCTATCTAAACTAAATTTGGAGCCAATTCTTGGCTGGTCATGACTACCCATAATCCAATTTGCTGTATGACCGCCTGGCATACATATTAACCATTTTTGTATGTTGAAGGCAAAGTCACGACCGTCTGATTTATCCGTTATATCACTTAATAATAGATAGTTAACAGGTATATGGGCGCCCATTAAACCCTCATCGCTTTCGTAATAATTCGCAAGTAATTTCAAGTCAGTGGGAGCATCCGTCATCAGAATACGGCAAGGGCCACCATTTTGAAGAGAATATTCGTCCAGCAGTGAACGCCAATGGTAAAGCATTTCAAAAACTTCGGACTGTTGAATTGGAAAGAATTTTAAAATCATTTTTATGGCATTCGTTTTCTTTTCTTGGAGATAACTACCTGATCCTTGCTGTAGATGTTTTCAGTAAAATCATACTGGTCACGATTGTTGGTCTTCCCCCTTAAAGGTTCATCTATGAATTGAGAAGGATTATATAAATAATTTGTCGCAATCATACGAAAACCCTGCACGCCCTTATCCAGCCAGAATAACAAGACATCGTCTATAGCTTCTATCAGAGCTGGACTGCGAAAATTCAAATCCGGTTGTTGTGCTGTATGTTGATGTAAATAATATTGCTGGCGTTTCGGATGCCAAGACCAAGCAGATCCATGCAGAAGAGAATTCTTTTCAAAGAGCAGCCGTAATAACATAAACATAATTGAAGAGTTATGTCAAATTGCTTTACTAACCCAATTATTGGGTGGTTGCCGTTCTCCCGTATTTTCATCTATTCTACCGTCAGCCCATACGTACAAATCTTCGTAGCCTTTTTCCCGTGAGGAAGACTTTTTAAACCACAAACATTGATCTGATGTGTGATCAGGAACAAAATCCAATAGAATTTTTATATTCAAGCGTTTCGCCTTCCTTGTTAATTCCTCAAAGTCTTGCATGGTTCCATAATCGCGATGTATGTCTTTATAATTCGCTATACCATACCCAAAATTGTCCGTCTCTGCTTGAAATATAGGACTCAACCATATCGCTGTTATACCAGTATCATGAAGATATGTTAGTTTATGAGTTATACCTGAAAGGACAAGGCGCATGGGATTTGTTATTCAATTTATTTCGTATAAACCTCTTAAATCTCCAATTCCATCAAAATTTGTATCCATAAAAGAGCGAGGATAAATTTGATAAAACACAGCATGTCGCCACCAATCGTCAACGTCATTCACCAGATCTTTCGTTGGAATCGACGCCATTGCCCTGCGATACGCAACTGCCATGCAGAGAATTGCAATCATTTTGTTGATAAACATTTTAAACATAACCGAGCAAACGCTCAACCTTTTTAATAACAATTTTCTATCTTCATTGATCACTTATTTACTCTAATATAAACTTATTTACTTTAATTCAAATCAATTTTAGTTATTCTCTTAACAAATTGATCTCTTTTCGAAAATCGTTCATATTCTAAAAATAATATTCAAAACGAATGCCAAAAAACACTGTTAAGAATATTTCTTTAATCAATCTTCCGACAAACGTCAGATATGTACATTACAGCTGCGAAATATTTAGCTGACTAAAGAGATGCTTCGCATATTCAAAGATATTTTTGGTCATCTTTAATAAAGTTGCCATTTTTCCAACTTTCATCAAATTTTAGGATTAGAAGTACATTTAGCCGAAGCATAGAAGCTAATCCTTTAAATGTTTTAATAAAATATGTTCGCAGTTCGCTTACGTTGACCCAATTTTGTTGGTTGTCAGGCACAGGTTTTAACGCACAGATCTCCCAAAGTTATTCAAAGGTTTCGGATAAAACTGCCTAAAGTGTTTCGCTTAGGGTCAAAAATGCACTTGGATCGACGCATGAGAAGTATAATCTATGCATTATTTCAAATAAAGATCAAGCGGACTTATAATTTCACACGTAAATTAATCACATAATATTGAGGATGTTTTCGAGCTCTATAACTCTGTAAATGGCGCGAGCCTTTAGCTTAATCGAAATCAACAGTAGGTGTTCAGAGCAAGAACCATCTTGAAAATCGAACGTTCCACAAAAAACGCCTTTTCTTCTCCGGAATGAGCAGATTACATATATCGCGAAATTCATTTTTCAAATATAGTCACAAGTTTCGGTCATCACTAAATGTACGATGCCTCATTTGTCTGACAAATGTGACAAAGGCAAAGCAAACGAAAACGAATTTTTACTGAATTTCTCGAAGGACTAGTGCAGAGATCCGTATAGTTAGAGGGTAAGAGAGAACTTAAATACAGAATATAATCCTTATTATGGTATGCTCTTATTACCAAAGTTTTCCACGCAATCTTTTAGTATCAAAATCTTAAATAAAAAATTTAATTTTTTTTATTTACATTCATTTTTCAGTCGCTTCATACTACAACGAATCGCTTGATGAACGGATGATTTAAAATTATTTAAATAAGATTTTGTGTTTCCCCTACACATACCATTTATTTGCAAAATCAAAATGAAAAGTTAAACATCAATCTGCTGTATGTGTACGCTCTGTTAAGTTATTAATATGTTAATGTTAGCAGTGAAAAGAGCAACGTTCCCCCTACTAACATGTTAATGTTAAGAATTAGACGAGCTTTTGACGAATCGCAAACGCAAGCGAATGAAATGAAAGCTGGCCGATCAAAAGCTATTTTCCTACGCTTTAGCGATTGCTACCACATTGATTATATGCTAACGTATGATCTAGCGCCATATAGCTTATGCTAGCTTTGACGTGTTAGATTAAAACAGAAGCTTATGCTAGCTTTAACGTGTTAGATTAAAACAGAAGCTATAATCGCAACGCTATTAGTGCAGCTTTTGCGTATTTTAGATACACATGAAGAAATATATATCAAAGCGACATTCTTACTCGGATAGAGATTACTTTGTGAGCTTTTTACCTAAAAGGTAGAATGAATTCAAAAACTTAAATCAAAGTGAGAACTCTGCATCAATTCATATGCGGGATCGTTAAGATTATCGATAGGAAAGATGACAATCATCATGTCGAACATAAAGACACAAGCATCACAATGTATCAGTAAATTTTTGGACAAACACTTGATAAAAAAGAATCTCATGTGCACGAAAACTGCGTAAACAAAAGACATAGGCAACCGTGTGACATCAACTAGGATGGGTTGATTCTTTACACCGATCGATTTTTACAATGCCCCAGAATACGTGTACGTATGTTTGCGCAATTTCGCAAGCACGACCGTTTATATGAACAAAAGCGACGTTTACAACCAGAGCGTAGCATATTTTGAGGCAGCCATCAAGACCACATCTCAAATTTGAAAAAGAATTCGTTCTTTTTCCATTCACTCTCTGTCTGTCTATTGTGTAAACAAAAATGAAGACATTCCCGTAAACTTACATGTATTTCCTTCATATATATACATATATATATATGTATACGAATATGTTTATATCGAAAAAGGAGAATATGTTTTTTATTGCAAGTGCTTCTTACTTATTTCTTCGCTTTTCTCTTTAGGAAAAAGTAGAACGGAAAATTTTGCCTTTCACCATCAAACATTTGTTTTTACATAAAATTTACGGAATTCATTTTTTTTTACAATTTTTTAAATTTATTTCTTTCTTTATTATTTTTCGTTCAAAACGAAAATGTTTCCATGTCACTGCTTGACTTTAAAAATTTTATTTCTTCATTCTTTTATTTTATTATTCCTTTGGGTATTCATCACTTGAAAGGTGAGCAAAGTTTCTATTTTACATTTAGAGATTTAATTAAAAAAAAAAAAAATGTAGTAGAAAAACTTTTGACACATTTTCAAAGATACGAGCATATGGAGAGAATTTAGTCAAGAGTTTGTAAAAGATTTTATCAAGAAAATGCTTCAACGATATTTGTATAAAAAGATTTTAATTCAATTTTTATGAATATTAAATACGCTCTACGGAGTCACTGCTGCAGAGCAATTTGTATAATTCTTAAATGCAAACAATAAAATATCAGACTTTTAATGAATGTTTTAACTCAATAATTCAACTTTTATACAACGCAGAAACGAACGAGATTGACACAGCCATAGACTTGGGATAGTGAGAGGCAGAGCAACAAGAGGACGGAGATATGGGAAGGTAGATAGACTTGTGCGCCGACGAAATTATATACGATGAACTGATAAAACAAAGGAGCTATAGGCTATAAAACACTGTCGGACCTACAGACTTATGATTTATGAGCTGATGGATCAACGAACTTAAGAACCGAAGGACAGACAGATCTGTGGATCGACGGCGCGATCACTCGGTGGATATAAGGATATACAAACTTACATTGCTACCGTTCGACGGATCTGTGGATCGATCTGTAAAGCGACAAACATCTATAACGACCGATCTCTAGAACAACGAATCTGACTGACAAATCTGTAGAACGACGGATCTAAAGAAAGAGAAGCCTGTAAATCGTCGCACTTGCGGTACAACGGAGTTGTAACCCAACAAATTGCTGAATTTGTATATAACCTAAAGGTCAGGAGTAGATGGTTCTATTCGTATGCGCTCTGAAGCATGTTGAACCAAAAGTTGCAAATTATTTTTTACCACGAATTAGAGAACGGGCAGGCATAACATACAATAATGCCTTGCTAATAGTGTTCAGTTTTTGAATTGGAAACATCAATTGTAAAGAAAGCACTTCAACCATTTCGTTCATGTGTTTCTTTTTAAAAGAACGCTGGCTTCTTCATTAAACATAAAGCGTACAATTTTGAGAAAAATTAATTTGGCGGGGATCTTATAAGTCTTAAATTATAAATTGCTGTTATTTTATGTGAAGAGAGATGAGCACCTTCGAATGTTGACAAAAAGATCCACTACTTGAATACGCCTCTGTTGTGTGTTCCCCATCCGATCAATGGTAGGTTGATTCCAATGGGTCAGTCAGGAATCATTGTATGCTCTTTGCCTTTTGGAATTTGGGCTGGAAGTCGTTTATCTCTTTGTTATCTTATAGAAATAGATTGGTCCTTTCGTCCCTGTCCCACCCCTTTGCCCTTTGTTTCCTATTTTTATTTTATATTTATATTCATATATATTTATATTTATATTTATATTCATATATAGTGTTCTCAAAATGAAAACAACAAATAAATCGTGTTATATATTTTTTAATATACAAAACTACATACAACTCTGACAAGTTCAAGTGAGATAGAGGTCCTAACAGCTTTGGATCTAAAGCGATCTGTGGTATATCCTGGCCATACAGCTACAGTGTTCACCAACGTACCTTAAAATAACAAAAAAAAACTTTTTTATATAATCTTTTGTAGTCTTGTGTGAAGTTAGCGTAAAAACCCCCTCTCGCTCACTTGAGTTGTTTTTTCCTTGTGGTTGGAAAGACAGTTTGATATTTAGTTCGATAACAATTTTTTTTTTAAACTGGATTACCACACAGCTTAATATCTTTTCAAGGGAAGCGAATTTGCAAAACAAACTTTCCTATGATATTAAATAAAAGAAGTAAACGTACTATAGTACGTAGATGGAACACCATCAAGCGCTCTACGCCACGTCAATTGCTTGGGTAATAACTCGGTGGTGTACTAAATTACATCGAAATATTTAAAAATCTACGATCTGTAGGTTGAACGCAGGAAGGATGGACGGACGGATAGATAAGCCTAAATCCGTATGGTAAAAGATGTGTCTCTCTCAAGCCTTTGTGGGTGTTGCAAAAATCCGCACAAGCTGGTATGCATATATATGCATATGTATATGTCTATACACATAAACCACATTTTCGCAACCCACGCAATAATTTTAAACATTTGTTACCTGTAAGTAGTTGTTTATATTTGTCTTTAAATTGGTTTTCTTTCACTCTTTTTGATCGTCTAAAGATGTTGCATAAGTTGTTTACAAATTTTATATTAAAGAACTTAAAAGGCAAGGACTTTTCTTAGTCAGCGAAAAAGGTTGTTTTAAGTAAAACGTAAAATTCGGTCAATTTTCATTTTTTCTTCTTTGAACGTTACTGTCTATTCAATGAAACGCTATAAATTGAGGGAGAAAACAATAAGCATAATGTTGATGATGATGATAATAATGTAAGGGATGAAAAAGCCATTTATGCAAACGACAAAGAAAGAAAATTCTATATAGGCGGGCGAGCACAAGCACAGTTAACGGTTAGAGAAGGCACAAGTAGTAGGGGCATCAAAAAAATATGTTAAAATTCAAATTTAAATTAAATCGTATTTGAATTCAACGCAATATATAAAATTTACGACTTCTAAATATGCTATCAAGGCTACCGCGCACAAAACCGAATCTCACACAATCATTGAATTACTAATTAAGTTCGTAAAAATGAAAACATTTAAATTTTTTTTAAATTAAAAATTTTTTACTAAACATTTACTTATGACGTAAGAAACATTGACATATATGAAAGGAATTCATTTAGAAATCATTTTATTTAAAGCACTGTCTACTGTGTCGCGGAATGCCATCCTTAACAGTGGCCCATTTTGGCGACATTCAAAGTGCGTTGCAATTTCTTATAATCACGTTGCGTGCATTCAAATTCGCAGCGATTTTTGTAGGTAACGCCATTCGAACCGCAAATTTCCTCTTTAGTTTTGAAGTTACAATCACACAACGCCTGAGCCTGAGCAATGGACATGAATAGGGTTATTGTCAGGATGAGAAGTAAGAAAATTGAAAAAACTTTCATTTTCGTTAATATTCACAATTTCACGCCGATATTAACGCTTGTGAGTTAAACAAGCAACTAAACTCAGATAATTTGAATCACTTCTCTGACGACTCAGAGCTGATAATTTTTAATTATTATGAATAATTTGACGTTAAACAACAACAAAAGTGAACAGAGGAAGTAACAGCGAGAAAAAAGTGTAGTTGAATATGTATACTTTTGTATACCTATTACCGGTGTAGAAAAGTGCGCTGATTGCTTTGTTTCGTTTGTGACACAAACTTCATAAAATGCAGATGACTTTTTCCTTAACTTGAATTCAACCAACAATCTTGGAAACAATCCAAAATAGATCCATATTTAATTATATTATACAACACACAATCGTTTAAGGAATTGATGTCTGTCCGCGTAACACATGACCATGTCTGAATCATTGACATGTGTTGACGTAAGAAGAGAAACCCGATTGAAAATGGATTCAATGGGAACTATTTTGCAACCGTTACTAGTCCTATAATGCCTTACTCAAAACACATTCTATGGGAAAAATTTTTGCATATTTTACATTTCTCCATATAGATAGGTTAATAACAATAGGTGAAGTTAAAAATGTGGTTTTCATAAAGCCGTTTGGGAGTTCACTTGGTCCATTCTTACCTCTCTTCTTCTTCTTATAGAAAATAAACTTTTATGTGGTAACAAGTATATGACGAAAATTGGTGAAGGAGAACTAGTTGACGACAAAAAAGTAACTGCCCTAAGTTAAAACCAAGCCCAATCGATTTTTGGTCCGGGTAAAATCCTCAATTTTTGGTTAATTCTTAATTTCAGATTGTAGTAGGCGTGGTGGTCTAGGATATGTAATCCTTAATTTATCTATTTAATAATAGTACATCTTGTAGACATGGACATGTCTATCTTACCAATCAATTTAATTTTAAGATAAGAGAACATTATACTGCTGCGATAACTAAAACGTCCTATAGGCAAGTGTTGGAACATAAACCAAATAGCACCCACATAAGAAAGAAAATTAAACAAAAATAAAATATTAAATATTAGTTTCTGCGATATGCGTTCATGTGTCACATTACACTTTATCTCCGCATATTTAACTTCAGAATGATTTTTATTTATAAACCCTTTCGCGAACCTCCTGCTTAATGCTGAAGAGTCGAATGCAGGATGCCATCTAAGTAATTGACATAAGAAGGGTTATCTGTCAGTCGATGTCGATGTTTATATATGGAGCCAGTAGCAAAACTTAGACAATTCACTTTGTTTCTCATACTACCCGGAGCATACAACTTTTATTTATGAATAAATTTACGTCGAGTAGTAAATTTGATCGAAGCAAAGTAAACGATAAGTAGGCTTGTGTTTTGCTTATCGTTAAAATGTGGTTTGTACTGAAGACAATTTATTGTATAGAGATCTTTGTCAGAGACTTTGCACGCTATTCTTTATGAGATAAACTAAATTATATATACTTATTTTATATCAACGCTTTATTGCCCGGCTTTTTTTTTCTGTTGGCTTTTCTATGGAAGCTTTCTACTCAGTCCCTTTTCTATCGGCCCTTCAGGCTGTTTCATGCGATATGTTCACACATAATTCTCTTAAATGGTTACTCTTCGCGACCTATATTAACAGATTTTGCCCACATGGGCAAATGCCATGGTTTGCTGGTTATTCTAAGTCATATGACACTGCGATCTCTTTCTCTGCTATTTAGTTTTTTGTAAATGCTGTTACGCGTTTCGTAAGGTGGATCACTTTACGTTTATATATTATTTTTTATTATATTAAATAGTGTGACGCTTTTAGCGGATAAACTTTGTAGTAACTACGGTAATGAATAGTAATAATCGCTTTTACTATAACCTCTCTTGGAATTGTATTATATTTGTCTAAAGCTTGCAGCGCATACAAATAGAAAAACATATCGGGGACTGCTGACGTAGACATACATTTGTGCATGCGTGTGTGTGTGTGTGTGTGTGTGTCTGTGCAGTAATAACATTAATTTCACGGCAATTCCAATTATCAGCTTACAAGCTAATGTTATCTCACTGGCGCTATTTTTGTTTTTATAAAACAATGGGAAAATCTGAATTTCAGTATTACAGCGTCCTAATGTCATCAAATTTCGACACATTTCGTTTGAAGGTTGATAATATCCAACAATCATACGAATTCGTCAATAGCCTTCTTACATATGTATGTCATCCTATAAACTTATCAAGCTACACATATATGTCACTAGTGTCAATAGCAAACGCAATCTGTGTCCATCAGTTAAATTAACGATTGCCTAGAGGAAAGATCAGATGAAACGGTTTTTTGTCACTATATTCATGTAAAACACGTCCATGAGCTTATTAGGTACTGAACGTAATTAACAAGTAGAGTTCTTAGTTTAAAACTTGAAGCGGCATTTTAAATTTTCCTGAATGCAAAAGCCCATCTCAACTTCGAAAATCAGTTAAAACTGAACAGAAATTGGTCCGTTATTAACAAAAAATTACATAAATAGAGCAGAGTATACATCCATCCCTTCTAACCTGAAACATCACTAGCAAAGTGCTGTTAAATTGTGTAAAAATATTATTTGCAGTATAAACGATATACAGGATACGATCTTGGCTATGCTCTTTACTCAAACACCATACGAAAGGTATTAGATAAGATATTGAAAAATTCTTCGATATCAGGACCAAATCTTACTTCTTTCTATTTTCTTTCTGTCACATTTCATGGTAATTTTTCCAAATGAAATCAATACAGATAGATGTTTGTATTCCTAAAACTTATTAATATATTTTTATGCCTTTTTTACTATTTTTTTATACTATTTTTTCCACGAATAGAAAACCAAGGGAGATAAGGGAACTAGCTTGGTTTATAAATCAATCTTATCTATTTAGTTTTTAATAAATATTGACTATATATATATATATATATATATATATATATATATATGTACATATAAGCAAGAGTCAAATTTTTTTCCAAATGGTTTTCCGTTAAATATCAGCTTTAACAGGGACCCATTTTGGCCACAAGCAAACTGTGCCACATTTTCACGTAGTCTCGTTTGGCGCACTCAAAATCGCAGCGACTGTAATATGTGGTCCGATTCCGACTGCAAATCGCCTTCTCAATAGCATTTCCACAAATACATATTGTTGGCTGTGTGACGGACACATGGACCGTAAGTGTCAGTATGATTAACAAACGAGTAAAATGCATTTTCGCTAATTTTCACAAGTTCACGTAGATTCGAAAGCTTATAAGCTAAATAAACGACTAAGCATTACTACGTTAGACAATCTCTTTTGAAACTGAACGGTACGTTTGTAGGTTTATTCATTTCATTCGTTTATTTATATATACCACATTATACACTAGAAGTAAGAGAGAAGCAAGAAAAAAATTTATGCTGAAAGCCCAAGCAAAGTCTGTTTTTTGCCATATGGGGTAGAAATGGTCCAAAGGCCTTTAATAATATAAAAGGTCTTGTTTTATGCGAACATATCTCTTGCAATCTTTCCTCGGTTGTTCAATGTCTTCCATGCAATTTTTGTTCCCAAGCGCTTCTATGTCGTATTTTTTATCTTTCTTTTTTTACACGGTTTTTTTTTCTGACATGATTCATGCCAGGCCGTGTTTTTGCACAATCGCGCTAAACCATGACTGTTTTCTAGTTTTTCTAGAAATTTTGAGAAAACAGTGTGAAAAATATTTTTCCCTATAGAAAATGAAAATCTTGATAGTATTTTGTTTCCATCTCACATATCAGAATGGAACGAGTGAATGATTATATGAAATGATTTATTGGTGTTCATTACTTTCCAGTCTTTAGTAATTGTTATAAAATATTTACTTTTATTTGTATTAATTCTTAATCACTTATCCCTTTGTTACGCTCAATCATTCTCTCTCAATCCATGAAACTATAGCTCTTTGCTGTAGAAACGATGAAACGAAGCATAACAAGTATCTGCATTATATAAATGGAATCGTATGGAAATAATTGCTTGTCGTTCATAATAAAAAATCTACTTAAGGTAATGAAATGCGTCAGAAATCATTTGCACAACTAATTAGTATGTTATGTACATCGGTATTGAAAGAGTATTATATAAAAGTTTAAAAGGCTCGCTAATGGTAAAAACGCTTTAAACTGTAATGTGACCGTTTCATTGCGATGTTTGTGTAAGTTGCAAAGCCCCCAAAAAATGCTATCAAAGATTACCCAAAACAGAGATTTAATTGTAAAGAGGTTTACATAGAAATGGCAAGTTAAAGTAGATATTAAATGACGAGTGTATAAGTGATCTGTAGCGACGTTAAAACTAAGAAGCTTTCGACTTTAATTTTTACTAAATTTGAGCTAAAGAATTACATGAAATTTTCTATTGGGTTGAATGGTGCGCAAAAATACTTAACCGGTCAAAAATAAAGCAGTCCTCGACACAATTATTGTAAAAAGCCTTTTGAAGAAGTCAGATTATAGAATTTAAAGATATATATATATATACATATATCTTCTAGTGTAGTTCGTATTTAAAAATAAATTTATTAAATTCTTGACGAAAAGAAGGCAAATTTAGATGCAAAGCACGCCATAACCTTGGAAGCATATTAGACCTTTTATTCCAGAAGCACACATAAGTGTACATATATGTGCACATATTTCTGATCAATGCAAAATTTAAAGTCCTTACCTCTCTTTTCCTCTTCTTCAGATTATCCTTAACTGGCATAGGTTCTCGATAGATCTCCACAAATTACACAATTTTCAAATATTGCAGACCGTGCAACTGAGTGCAGAGCTGACTTGCAAATAATAAGAAGCAAAGCATTTTCCGGAATACGATATCATATGTGATGCCATACTACGAAACTCTTCATTATATCAAATTTAATCAAAGTATTTCGAAATTCTCATCCTACTACTATCGAGAGTATGGTATCGCTTTCATGAGCCCTTCGCTACTTGCGTAAATGTGCATGTTATGTTTTCTTATATTCCGTTGCAGTGAGTTTTTACTATCGACAGAAGTAAGCAGACACCAAGTCGACTGCCGGATTAAATGAATTTGGCCTCGCGAAAAAGAAAAGCATTTTACCGCACACTCTTATTCTGCGAAAAAAATTAATGCTCGTTTACCTTAAGTAAACATACTGTTTACAATATGTTTCTATAAGAAATATCTGACTCAAACAAGTGCCATATATTTATATTAGAAAAAATGTAATGAATTCGCTGTTAGTATATATATGACGTCATCAAAATTTGATAAGTAAATGTTTTCGAAAACAAAACGAGCACATGGAAGAAAAATTATAATAAGTATAAGTAAAAGTAATGCATCTGATACGGGTTTCCCACCACAAACTCTAAGATTAGATTATCTTTTGTTATTATTATTGTTGTTATTGCAATACATGATTGTTTATCCGTTGTTTGAGTGAGGAAAGCAAAGAATAAATATTACTACGGACTGCTCTTCATCGAACGAACATTTACACCTAATCAGTTTCATTCAATGCCTTTCGGTAATTAGTTGTGCTTGTAAGTAGAAATAAAAAGAAGACGCGATTTCGTTTTCCCTCTTGCCCTATAATTGGACGAGAAATTAATTATAAATAGCAAAAATACAAAACAATAACAGAAACAACAAGAGCGAACAAAATGAAATTAACCAATTTAATGACGTTGGTAGCGACGGTAATATTCGTCATATTTGGCGTACAACTTAATACTGTTGCAGCTCTATGCCCTTGTCCCCGCATTTATGATCCGGTATGTGCCGATAATATGATAACGTATAGCAATCGCTGCGAATTTGAATGCTCTAATACAGAAATGAAACGCAGCGGACGCCAGCTAAGAGTACTGCGATGGGGACAATGTTAAGAAAATTCAAAAAATAAAAAAAAGAACAAAATGCTATTCTTCTTATTGATGAAAATATTGTAACGAAATACAAAGAAATAAATTGAAAACCATAAGTGAATTCAAAGTTTTTATTTTATAACATGTGTAGAAGTGCACTCTACGGACCCAGTAACTCGTAGCGGACTTGCATGATTACTTTACATTAAAACTTGCTGTTTAAAAACACAACCGTATATATAGACTCTATACTATAGAAAGTATCTAATACTTAAGCTTTGCCTTCTATTTAAGTTATACACACAACTGAATAAAATATTCCCGATATTTTTGTAGAAAGTCTTCTCCGCGTGAATTCAATAAAAAGCAGATGTTTGTTGCAATTTTCGGATCTTGAAACTTTTGTTTTGCTGAAGTTGTTTGCTTTTTTCGAAGCAATTAGTTCACTAAACAATCTAACCTAAAAATGCTACTATTAAATGGATAAGTGAAATGAATAATGGACTGAATGGGAGATATAAGGGGGCGGATGTATGCGCGGACGGATGAACTGATGAATGGACACACGTTTAGCCAAATGAAGTGATAAAGACAATACAAATAAATTCGTCTGAATATAAGAGCTCCGTATAGACAGACAGATGGGCTGACATATAGGCAAAAGGTCTAACAGATCACAAAAATTACTATTAGATTAATGCAAATCTTCCAAATATTGCACACAGAAGAGCGAAATAAACTGATCCTCATTCCAGCAATAATAGAAAAGTGAACTGAGGAAAATTGATCTCTTATGTACTCTCCAAAGGGAAGATATATCAGTTCCTTATGTCTTCGCCACGTATACTTTTAATTAAAACATTTTTTGTTTTTGTAAAGTTTTTATTGTTTGTTCTTTGTAAAATTTTATTATTATTATTGGGTTGGCGACTAAGTGATTGCCGATTGTTCAATGAAATAAATGATTATTTTTTGCTTGGAATGAAGTTTAATCTATAATGTATTTTCCATTTTGTTCGATGCCCCTTTGACATTTCACACTCGTAGAAAGTCTGATCCTTTTTGGTCTAAAACTGTGTTAAGTGAGATTTTACAGCGTCATCATCATTGAAAGCTTTACCATGAAGGGAATTGTCCAGGGATCGAAATAAGTGCGAGTCCGATGGCATGAGATCAGGGGTATACGGTGGGTGTAAAATCAATTCCCAACCAATATCCATCAACTTTTGCCGAGTGGCCAAAGACGTATGCAGCCTACCATTGTCCAGGTGGAAAATGACTCCTTTACGATTGACCAATTCTGGTCGGTTTTCCTTGATCGGTACATTTAATTTGTCCAGCTGCCGACAGTAGACCTCCGAATTAATGGTTTGGTTGCTTGGAAATAAATCCCGAACCTTTCCATCCCCAGCAAATCGACATCAAAATCTTTTTTTGTTGGATATGTACCTTTGAAGTGGTTTGCGATGAAACATTAGGCGTCGTTCACGATCGTTTTCGCTTAACATTGATTCGTTCTAAAAACGGATCGAGTCCATTGCGTTAAGCAATAATTCGCAAACGCTGATGCGCTTCGTCAGATGAATTCCTTTCAAATCGTGCGGAACACAAATATCCAGCTTCTTAACGAGACCGACACGTTTTAAATGCTTCTCAGTAGATGTATATGAAACATTTAACTTTTCTGCAATCTCCCGTGTAGTTACGTGACGATGCGCTTCGATGATGGTTTTGATTTCAACCCCGTTAAGCTTAACTGGTCGACCTGAACGATGGTCGTATTTAAGAGAAAAATCTCTAGAACGGAATTTTTCAGACCAATTTCGGAATTGCCTTTCTTTAAGGGTCTCATTGCCATATGCGGCTTGCACTTCGTTCTTTCCCTTACAAAAATAATAAAGCGAAATGTGTGTCGAAAATATTCGTTTAATATTGAGGTAAAAGAAAAAACCTTTAAGAAAATATCTACGCAATGAACTTGTAAAACTGGGTAAGGATGCCAGCTAACATATGTACGAAGAAGAAGATCTTAACGTATACGGATATCATAAAAATGGGAGTGAGAGATATCTATAACTGAAATCGGCAATTACTTAGTTGCCTACCCAATACTTTGTTTCACATTTTCGCAAGTATATTTTAAGAAAGTTATCAGATTGTTCGACTATCAGATATTAAAGTACAAAAGTCATAATTGGTTAAACTCTTCGTATGTGCATATCGTAATTATTGTGTATCAATTATGTGCGGTTTTTTTATCAATAAATGAAAACTAACTTTAAAAAATATACATATAAACGAAAGCAATGTATGTATCTAAGATATGGTTTTGCCACGACAAGCTTTCAGATTAGATACATTTGCTATTATTATTGTTGTTGCGGTTCGTACTCGTTTGTTTTAGTATGGAATATAAAAATTAAACAAAATTATAGACCACAGATTCGATCGATTGTTTTATTCGGTATCTTTCTATAATTATATATATACTATATTCTACAGCTGTTTTCATACAAATTCCAACGGAACGCTTTCTCTCTATATATTAGTTATGCTTAGAAGATCTTGTTCTCATTTCACTTTTTCATTATTGGAAAATGAATTATTGCCAGCAAACTATTGTTAACAATAATAACAATGACGAAAATAAAACTGGGCCGTTTATTGATTTTGATAGTGGTAGTAATATTTGTGATATATGAAGGAAAGCTTAAAACTGTCTCGTCCCAATGTTATTGTTGCCACATCTGTGAAGGCGTACGAAGCTGTTAATTCACATGCGCTCTCAATGAAATAAAAAGCAATAGACGGCAGCTAAAAAGATTGCGAGGAGAAAAATGTTAACGAAAAGAAAGGTAGTCTGCTGTTAATCGCAACATTGTAATCAAACGTGGTAAAAAAGTAAACCCGAAAACATACGTGAACACAATAGCTTTCATATCTTACACTAATTGTAATGGCGTTAGCGAATATTCAGTTTATGTGGATGTATTCAGATGACGTATGAAATAGACGCATCTCTTACCATAGGGATTGACTCAGAGTCGCTTTCTGAATCAATTTAAGCTTGTTTGTCCTTCTGTCCGGCTATTTGTGTTGGTTTCTTGTGTTCAACATATAAGCGACACATTTCGAGATATTTGGATGAAATTTGGCATATCGACATATTGGCTGAACGCCATTGGAAATGATGCGGATCGGATCACTTTTTTGATCATTTCCAATATAAGGACTTATTTTGAAAACTCATTATATCAATAATTGTATTGAGCAAAGCGTTGCAGGGTGGACCATAATCCACTATTCTGCAAAAGTTTGTTGCTTAAAAGCAAATAAGAAAACAAGATGGATGGAAGGAAGGACGTAGAAACGAATTTGGCGGACGGGCGAATAAGCTGCCTAACGGATGATTGGATAAATGCATGGATGGAGATCGATGGAGATAAGGGGAGATGGATGAAACAAACGCCGAACGTAATAACAAAGCAAGACTAAAGGAGAAGAGAAATGAAAGATAAATAGCAAACTGTTTCCGGGAAAGACTACACCATTTGTGGCGTTTTGCTATTCCTAAACATCAGCAACGAGAGGATTAAATAAACAGATCTCCGTTCCGTCGATGATGAAAAACTTCATGCAAAAATGCCAATAGTAATAAGTAAGAATATGCCGACAATTACATATCCTACATCACTTCACCAAAATTTATTATTTTCACGCAAAGATATAATTGTTACGAAAGCCCGCATATTGGAAGGTTAGATATTCTCCCCATATACTCAGGAAAGCTAATTGAAACAACCAGAGAACATTTTCGCATCCTGATCAAATTTCCAAGAACGTTATAAAGTAAACTTATCACCGTAAAGTGTAAAATACGGAACTTTAATGCGAGGATACGATGGGAGGCAGAGCATAAGCAAAGGAATAAACGCAAACGGTTGCCGGGAATTTTAGCTCAGAGCTTTAGGATCGCAAATAATACTCCATTTGAAGATATTTTCCATCAGCTCTGCAATTGTCTGTTACTATATCAAATTTGCGAAACTTGCTTTTATAAATGTAACTCATTTTCTTTGAATCCGCTGTTAAAGTCACTTAACAATTTTACCAGCACGATCTTAACGAGCCATTTTTGCTATGAACATTAATGAAAATTACTGGATTTAAGTTAGTACACAACTTTTACATTAAAATTATTTTATTTTTCTCTCTTCGCCGCTTTCTTCGCTTGCAATGATTAATGCACAACACCCCCAGCTAATATACGCTTATGTTTATGTATATACCGCAATAAATAACAATTTACCGATATGATAACGCTTATCAACGTTGATAATATTGTTCAGCTACTTAAGTCAAAGTGTAAATATGCGAATGAATACACTTGCCAATGCAATCGATTTGATAGTAATGCGTCTTAGCTGTGACTCAACTTTTCTAGAAGAAAAAAAAACAAATATATTAATATTTCCTAGCAATCAGCTGCTACATCTACTCGATTAACATGTTCTCTAAGAATTTTAGATTTCGAGACGGCAATTTCTCGCTTTTAATCGGAGACTGGTGAAGAGGATATGAAGCATCGATTATCAAGGTGTTTATATTCTAAAGCAGGAAGAAAGCACAAAGTGCTTCCTTCCCCCAAGACTTTATAGCACAACATTTTTATGCTGGATAACGAATTGCGATCTAACTATTTAAAGTTTTTTTTATGTAGGAAAGATGACAAAAATTACACTTGACAGTAGTTAATTAACACTAGCACTATCGACAGGCTGCGGATATCTATTGCTATCGTTATGGGTCATTTTGACCCGTGACATTTACCTACACACATAAAAACGAAGATAGGAAGCCAAAATATGCCAAAAACATTCCTTAATCGCTTGAGAATATGAGGTTAAAAAATGGACACACTCGGAGGAAGAATCTGATATGAACTCGGAACTGACAACAAGTATTTAAAGATCCTTTTATGTAAATAAAAGTCATCAAAACATCTTGCGAGTATACTTGCTTTATAAGCATTTCTCTTTTTTAAGTTCAAAGGTTGAAAGAGTGCATATTGACCTAGACGGTAGTTCGAGTGTTAAGCTTATGCCTACATTTACATAACAAATCTCGTCTAACATGCTATAAAGCAAAGAATCAAAGAAAATGTAATAAAGAACAAAACAACTCTGGATATAAATAAAGTAAGCAATGTTTTACATCAAAACTAAAGACATGAAGTTTTTTTGTCAACTTGTTTGATGATTTCTCCTTTTCATTGTTTTTGTTTTGTGTTTATATTAGAAAGTTTTTGCAATTTAAAATTTACCACAAATTTTTCAATTTAAAATCAACCAAAATTTTTGTACATAAATAAAATTTTGTTTCTTTTGTTCTTTATATCGTAATCATTTTGATCGCAAGGTAATTTCGAGTGTTTGACAATACGTACCTAGAGCCATATAAAAAAAAAGGAAAGAGAAACCATATGAATGCGTATAAAAAATTGTGATATGTTTACAAGTCAATGTGTCAAGTGCAGGAGTTGTCTGGTTTTACTATTCCGTTCAATTGAATTTGTTTATTTTTTGTTTTGTGCAACATCAGATCCATCAAAACACGCAAAGGTAATAAAATGAAACATAGATTTTTCAATAAGAATTATTCAGTTATTTAAATGTTAACATTTATCGAACGTGCATATGGAAATACGCGCGCGTTTAAAAATTCATAGATAAAGGAATTTCGCTGTTGCAGCTTATACAGCATTCTTTGGTGTTTGATATGTGCGTAGAGCCTTGCTGGAAAGTTTGCGAAAAATTTTACTTGACCTCCCAATGTTATGTTATGAAAAAAATCTTTGAATCGCCTTAACTCACTTCTCGCAGATTAACTTTACGTATAAAAAATTGAAACTGCATATTAATAGTTCCCTTACGAGGGTTGTAAAAAAAAGATAGAGTCTACACTCTTCCTTGATGGCTCCTTGATAAGAGTCCATGAATTTCTCTGCTTCACAAGATTTCGACGAACCATTAGAAGCATTTTCTCAACATACTCCAATTTTGATACCTTAACGATAGATTTTCATTAAAACGAATCGTTAGACCAACCATAAGAAATATTTTACACCGACTACGGCAAATTTATATATCATGGATAAACAAAAAAATATGCTTAAGAGACTTTGGCCGAGAAATTTTTCTTGCTTTGGTAGGACTAGCGGTAAGTGTAGACTCGTTTGTCTATTCGCTGGTTTGCAAAATTTTTTTATGTTCTTACTAATTAAAGAGTTAACTTTTTCAACTTTACTATGCGATGTACACTACGATGTAGTTTATATAGATTAGTGCTTGCCTTAAGTCGGTTTTCCGATTCCTAAATACCTCGAAACCACTCAATAATATTACGTACATAGTATAGCCATTTCAATAACGTAATACATCTTAATCCAGCCTTCAAATGTTCGAAAACTTGCCTTGTTCATCGTTGAGCATCAAAGCAAGCTACCGTTAAAGTCAAATGCTCGCCAAACATTATTGATTAACTGGGAATAATGCAGTAAAACCAAGCAATGGCCCGTTTTCAAGTTTTGAGTATTACCCCGACCTCGAATTTCCATTTCCCTAAACAGCACATCCTTTCCTAGCATTAATTCCGACTAAGGGTATCGATCAAGCCGATGAAGGTAGAACTACTTGTTGCTTTTGCAAATATTCTTATGGATGGCAGTTTCAGTAGAAGGCGACTAATAAAAAATAATTCTAATTTGAATTAATCCATTCGAGAAGGTCTGCACAGAGTGTATGCAACGCATTTCCGAGCCAAAAAGGTTTTCGCACACCACGCATGCTATGAATTTCCGAACCAAAAAGACCGTCTGCACACTGTGTATGCTAGAGTGATGGGAAAAGCAGTCGTCTAGATAAGACCAGTTTGAAATAAAATCCATCTTAGAAATTTAAATTGGTCCGTAAAATAGGCGACACCAGCCTACAACCAGAACGCTAACGAATGAAAAATGGTTAATATGGTTGGTCGACCGGAAAGTTCTGCCCGTTTTTAGAATCCTTGCTTTCGAATGTGGCCCGCTATAGTGTATTGGTCTGAATCAAGCCTTCCGAAATCTCCGAGATTATCAAAAAAGTATCTCTATTTCGACAAGCTGACTAGCAAGCTTTCGACAGATGAGACTCTGCATCAATGTCAATCTTTTATCTGTTAAAAGATCTGCATAGATTGTGAGCAAAACGATGGTAAGGTAAAATTGATAAAATTAAAACGTATTAGACCGGAATCACTATACCAAGTTATGCGCATAGAATAGACCTGCGATACGATTTTTGGCGTATGTAATTTTTATGTAATTTAGTCATCCATTTTTGAAATTACACTTCCCAGCGACTTCCACGTCGCTCCAAAATTACAAGTATAAAATCTTTTCACGTATTTAAGTCACATATTTGATTCTTAAGGATCGAACCCATCCAGGAGTTTGTCAACTCTCAAAAATCTTAAACGATTTTTTATTAAAATGGAATCAATAAAAATTTTTTTTTTTTTTTTTTTTTAGTTTATTGCGACGCTTTTTATTTAGTTTACACAATAATCTTCACTTTGCCTTTTACAAAGACTTTCTCGCGAAACTTTTCAATTCTCATTTGTTTTCATTAACATTGACCGTCATGAGCCAAATCGATATGTTCACCGTTACGATGCATTTTTCGTTGTACACACAAAAGTTCGCAGGGATTGGGATAAGTGTGGCCATCGGTACCGCAAACTGGTTCATATATCCGAGTACACATGCAGCCATCTCCGCTAGCTTCGTCTTCGCCGTGATGGGCCATCACAGCCAAAAGACCCAAAAGTACAATAAAGAAAACGCAAAAATATTTCATGATAACTTTTTATGTACGTGTTTACGCCAAATGTGAAACTTGTTGGTTGAAATTTCGCTGCTAAACTAAATTGACTCACTTTGGCCCTGTTCTCTTTTTATAAACGCTTTAAAGTGTGTGCTGGTCTATCTATCAACTGATAAGTGTGTATAATTCCAATGAATATTTCATTTCCTTTTCTTTCTTTTTCTTTTTTCTTTTTTTTTTTTTTTTTTGCTATCAAAAGAACACACACAGTTACACTTGAATATCTTATTATTGTAATGACTTCTATTTAATGAAAAAGATACAAAAATGTTTACTTAGTTCTAACACTTATAACGGGAAGAATTTCATATCATACAGGATAACTTCTGTAGGCACGGTTTTCATTTCACAAAAGAAGATGAACGTGAAATATTCTGCTGAAAAACCTTATTACGCAATATTAATTTATTTGTTTACAAAAAAAAAAAAAAATTAAAAAAATTCCACCACAATTAACAAGTCAAGTACTTGAACAAGTGGAATGGCAATTAAAAAAAAATTTTGATTTGTGATAGAATAAATCACAATATAGTTAACTAAAGTAATCTCTCCCTTTAAATGATTCATAGAGAAAAGTAATAGAAATTATTAGCAACATTTTTTCCTGCAGCATTTGAGAACTTAATATTTTTACGCATTCCTTTTGTGTTTGTTGCGAAATTCAAGTTTTCTTTAACATCTTATGTCTGTAATGTCCTCAAGGTCTGTCAGTCTCTCGAACTACGAGCTTGATTATTTTTAGGGCTGCTTTAAAGTGCCGCTTAGAGAGGATCGGAGACTGCAGAGGCGGTCGCAAGTGCCATTGCTGAGTTAGCTAATTCGGGAAAAATTTTTGTCTCACGGACACCGCGCAGACAGTTTTGCACATAAAAGAAAAGCACGTACTTTACCCTCATATAAATAGACGGACGGACGAGACCTACTTACCGAACGGGCAGATCATAAGCCCTTGGCCAACTCTATACCCTAGCCTGCCTTTGATCTCCTTCGGCCCATGATTTGCAATGGAAGTTATTTAGTTACGACATACTGAACTATATATGTATATATATATATATGGTCAATACATTGGGGGGTACATGCTATATGTGCTACACGCTGGGAACCGAGAGGTACGAACTAGCCGCAGCATGAGAAGTCTGCCCGACGCCTTTAGCGACCGAACATTCACTACAACTACGACGATCTACCGCACTGCGTATGGAATCCTCGTATACCGACTTGATGGTCGCAGCTAATCACTGGGCTTTGCTGCGCTCCTGTCGATACTTAATTTAAAATATTGCACGAACTTTAAAGCTTTATTGGTTATTGAATTTCAAATAACTTTGATCGCTTGATTGGAACTTTGTCTTGAACAGTGGAAATTCAACAGCGGCGCGGTATTTGTAAAGTTCCCAATTGTATTTGCTCTAGTACATCGTACACTCTTTCTTATTTGTTCTGCTGTCGCGTTATTTTCAATTATACAAATCGTGTAGAGTCGCCTTTGAACTCTCCCAGCACTTTGCGTTAATATCAAACTGCGTTGATTGGCGATATTGCCGCCTTCGCCGCGACTATTTTAACAAAAGAACAGCTAAGCCGTATTCCTAATTAATATCAATCAATCTAACCGTAGATCTATAACGTTTCTCATGAAAAATAATTTCTATTACTATAATGAAATATTTTGAAAGAAAATTAATTTTTGCTAAATTTCGACAACGTCATCATTCTAAACCAATCTTGATCCTAAAATTTTGGCAATTGTCATCATATGAAGGTTCGTTTTGTGCTGCTTATTGCTGTCTGAAAAATCTAACGATATTTATCCGACAATATTATTATTTTTTTTTAAATAATATATTATAGGGTATGTGCCGCAGTTGTAAAAATGGGCCAATCTCGGGCATATCTCGAAAGTTGTAACCTACACAAGCATACTTGTTCAGATATCAGACAGACACACGGACAAACTTAAATCGATTCTAAATCGATTGGTATAACAAAGGAAGTACCTATCCTAAGTTCTTCCTATGAACGTGAATTCAAATCTTGGTAGCTACAGTGAATGATCATTTGGTAGAGATTTAATCGATTAATCATAAACCTCGTAGACAGGCGGCCACCTTCCTACCTCTTTCCCTTTCCCCGCTCGTCCCTCCTTCACAAATAGACTGAATCATTCCATTATACAAAAAAAAAAAAAAAAAAAATATCCTTACTGAAGGACGTTGTGCGTTGTAATTTTTCCCAGTCTACAAAAGCAGCAGAATGTTTATTTAAACGACTATGATTAATAGAGCTGAGTATCTTTAGTATGCATTTTTCTTTATTTTGGGTTCTCGTGCGTTCAAAATTTGTGGTATCAAAGTTTGCGCTTCTAAGAAATCACAATATAATTTCTTCAGGTTTTAAAATAATGCTTAAATTTCCATTATCACGGGGATAAAGCAATTTTGCAAAACATGTTATAAAGTATTCCGAATAGAAAATATTGAAAACGTTTCAATTTTCGTTTTACTTTAAGGGAAAATGTAATCGATTTTTGTTTTTGTTCTTTTTTATTCATTTATTTATAGTTGCTAGTTCACCAGAAAGTCTAGCTAAACGAGAGGATCCAGCGGTTACGAGCGGAGGTGGTGGTGGTGCTGGTTCGAATTTGCCGTCAATAGCAAGTGTCGGTAACTCCACTCCATATACTTGCACCGAAGAGCGACATTCCGCGGCTGATAATAATTGCATTGCAAATAGCACAACACATACGCAATCGACTAGAGACGGTGCCAACTTTGACGATAAAACTACAAGTCCAGCAATAGTTAACGACGGGATTACACTTGAGGCGAACATCAATGCAATTACAAATAGCGATTGTTCCAGTTTAAATGGTCAAGTTGCAAGTAAGTAGACTAACTAAGAGAAAGAGAAGGACACCTAGGAACGCTGCGCACATATATTTACATGGCTGCCTGCAACACTTGGGCATTTTTCAATTGATTGCAAATCCATTTAAAATTCAATTAATGAAGTACACAATATGCTATCCCCAGAGCATTTATGTAGCGCACACAGTTCAATGGTTTATGCACCATAAGCTTTTCAACTTTTCATTTTTGTAAATTTCTTAAATACTTTTTAAGAACATCTTAACGCAGAATTTTTTCAAATGAACCCTTAATGTGTGAGAGCAAAACGCTCCGAAAACCTACATCGAAACTACACTTTTATGCAAAGCACTTTACAGTAACATACTATATAACTATAAGTAGTCAGATTGCTTTCGCAAGCCTACAAGTGCTTGCTGTTTTACTTCTGCTTCTTCTTTATAATATTCTATACATATAGTTAAAAGAAAAATATGCGGTATATGCGATATACGCGTAGCATTGGAGCGTAATGTGCTACATAGAGTAAAAAGTATGCGTAAATCGTGGGAAAGTTGCGTGGCATAATTAAAGGAGAAAAGTTATTCGCAGACTTTTGGAAGGCTCTTGAGGAGCAAATTAAAACATCTTAAAAGGCGTATGGACGGTAGTTGCAATGCAATCGTGGAAGAAGCTTCTTCTGCTAAATTTTAAATTTACGCAGAACTACCATAAAAGTTGTTGACTTGAGTCTGAACTGCAGAGTAGAATAACGAATCGAGACTTAGATACTGTAGAAAAAGACAGACAGTTGCCTGATCTCCTTATTTCCCTTCTTTTCCTCCTCTTGGAGCCTTTTCACCAAAACATAAGTTTAATGCACTTGTATAGTTTATAAATAAATGATCGCATAGGTTTATATACTATATTGCTTATAGTAGCAGTAAAGCGGAGGAAGTATGCAACCCTCAAAATCCATAGAGTCACATTATGCCCAATCGATTTTTAAATCGATTTGGAAACATTCTTTTAAGTCAATCTTAGTCTGTCTGTTCAGCTTTCCGTCAGATAAATTTTTTACTCAACCTAAACATTTCAGTTCTCCATAAATTTGGATGAAATGTGATAGAATGATATTTGTTTAAGAGTGAATGCTATTGAATAGGATCCAATCATTTTTGCAACTAAGCCATTATGTGAAAAATGGAGAGGATCTATGTAACCATCATAACGCAATAATTTGATAAGACATTAATTACGCTAGCAGCAAGATAGTGTGAAGACCTTTAATATTAATCTATTCCTAATTTCAACAAAAATGCACATATCGAAGTGCGGTTGATTTTTAAACGTAATAAGAAAATATGTAAAATTTGAAATAACATCTCAGGCCACGATTATAGTTTGAAAACGTAGTCAAAGAAAAGAAAAAGCAGACCGATGGACAAACATACAGGATGGGGTCTACAGATTATACATATTTTATCATCCTATGCTTTGTTTGTAAAAAATTATATGTTTTTAATTATCGGGCGCCGCCATTAAGTTAACACAACTGGAGACTGAGCGTTCACAAACGGTTAGAGCTATTCCAAATTTTATCGCGATGTGCTAATTAGGACCTTTGGAAACGTTCACATAAGTATAGTCATCCGACAGGACCTTGTAACTAACGACGTTACTGTAAATCTAAAAGAGTTTGCAAAATGTCAACATACATCTATTAATGCGACATTTTACGAATAAAAGCAGGGAGGTTTCCATTAATGGTTCGATAGAAACTAGTAGAAAAGATCGAAATTATATGACAAAAGTCGTGGAAATATTATAAAGTGCTTACTGCTTTTGATTATCATCAAGCACCTTCTTTGCCAACTATAGGGAAAGTGTCCATCTACTACAAGTATAGATACGAAGTCTTCAATTCGTAATCGTGTTCGCCTAAGGTATCTGAAAATTTCACAACTAATTTTTATCCGCTTTACGATTACGACACGGCCTAGGCTTGCCTGCTTATAGATTGGAATTGATAAAGAAATTGATGCATGTCATTTTAAAGTC